AGGGGGAGGCCTTCAACGAGATGGATTGATATGGTGGCTGCGATGATGGGCTCAAGTATGGCAGGGATTGTGGGGCTGGCGCGGGATCGGGCAGTGTTTTGTTCTGCTGTGCATGGGGTCGCTGTGAGTCTGAAACGACTCAACGGCACTTAACAACAACAACACAGGTATGTAACATATAAGCAGTATGTGCTCAAGTGATACTGATACTTAAATATACTAAAGGAATTCAGAATAGAAGGGATATTATGGAGATAATCAAATAGGAAAAAAAGTCATGGAAAAAGACTAACTTGGATTAGAATAATGCAATCATTGAACAGTGTTTATTTGTGAGATTAGGATTGACCATATTTAACATTTTTACTCATGACTAGAATGAGGACATTGGATTCAGCTGCCTGGGGTTTAAGGATGGTTGGGTGATTTTACCTCATGAAAAATTTGTTTATTTGTTAAATTAATTGCAGCACATTTGTTTCTCTTTTTCCTAAAGCATAAATGTTTACTTACTTATTTATAATGTTTATTTATTGTACATGGCTTTACTTACCATAATGTTTCATTTGAATGTTTACATTTGAAGATGTAAGCCATCATTAAAAGGAAAAATATTACTTTTAAGATGAAAAGCTTACAGACAGTTTATTGTAAATTTAATTATTATATCACATTTATATGAAGAAAATACATATTTACTATAATTCAACTTTAAGAAAAAAGCATATAAATAGGTTATTTAATAAATAGTTGGAAAAATCAAATATATATACAAAGGTACCACATGTCTATAATAATCTCAAGTTTTTGACATTTTTTTTTGCAGTGAATGTTAGCAGTAGTGGTTGTTTCCAAGAGAAACCCAAGTTAAAGAAGTATCATTTAGCTAATTAAGAGAACTGGCCATGATAAGCAAATCAAGGAGAATAGTGGAAAAGGTTGAAAACATGTTACATATATTTCCAGAGTGTGGCAGTGAGAGGTACAGAAATCAAATGGTAGGAAAATAAAAGAAGAGAAAAGAAAATTATGAAATAATTCACAATGGGAAATGGAAAGAAGTATAAATGTCTGAAATTATGGAGAAAACTGTATTACTACTAATTATCAGATTTTTTTTTAAGAGTGAAAGAACAGGTTGAATCTTAAAAGGACAAAGTAAGGCATATGTAAATTAAATGAAGTGTAGATTTTTATATTTTTAAAAATTCAGAACCTGGGTATCATGAAGATTTTCGTGAAAGAAAATATTCCATTATCAAAAATGTTAAGGTGACAACAAAACTAGCTTAATACTTAATGAGTAGTTTTGCCTTATTTTTATAATAAGGCAAACACATCTTGTATTTCTACTACTAAGCACTCTTCCTCAGGTCCTTTAATGAATTTTTTAATGATGCAGTAATGGCATGTGATATAATAATTAAATTTACAAAAAGATTTTTTTATATTGGTATAGGTTTTAGCTTTTATTATTTTATGTGTAGAGGAAATATTAACTGTAGTTTATCCAAAAAATAAATTTTGGAACAACAGTGTTTATCATATCTGTCTCAATTTTTAGTTAATAACTTTTTTCTAAAAGGGCCTATTTTATTTCTGTAGTAAAAGTATGAAAGATAATGACATATTCCTTATAACAGGTAGTTTGCAGTATAATTGAAGAGATAATATGTCATATAACATATACTAGTACTAAAAAAAAAAAAAAAATAATGTGTGACAAACAAGGAGAAAATTGTTGTAAGTTGGGAGGGCTTGGCTTCAAGGCAGGGAAGAAGACTCCCGAAGTGGTAGGGCTTTTAAATTTGGAGAGATAGTGACAAATTAACAGGAGCTATTCCATCTCAACCATGGGATATGGTAGGAGTAGGAAGCTGCCAGACATGACAGAATTGGAGAGTAGTAGAGCATTAGATGTAACTCTTGGGTACTCAGAAAATAGTTGTGGCCATAAGAATGTGAGTTCCTCAGTGGACAGAGTATAAAAGGAGATGAGTCTTGAAGAATACAGAGTTAGGAATAGAAGGGAGTAAGCTATCAGAACTGCATGGAATTGTCACATGATAGGAAATAATTCAGAGTAATAGAATGTCATATTCTGTTTACAGAGGGAGAGAGGACTTTATGAAGGTCGATTGTGCAGTAATAGTAAATATTTTGTGGAGATGAAGAAGAATGAAAAAATCCTGGAAGGGAGTGTTGGTAAAGTGACTGAAGTGAAAAATGGAAGATGGCAGCTATAGGAAGTTCAAAATGGAATGGATGATGAGACAAGGGAGAATTGAATGGTGTAGACTACTGTCTGTACTCCATCATTAAGGAGTGATGAAATCATGTTCCTGATGCAGTTATCTCTCATTAATTTTATATCTGATATAAATGCTAACTTTGGACAAAAATTTAACCAAAATACCACATTCACTAGACAGTCTGAATAAACAGGATTTAAATTAAAATTCCCCAGTTAGAATCCAACTTGATATGTGATCTGAAGTTTTTCCTTAGTAAAAAAATCAGATGCTACCTTTATTGCTAAAAGAAAAGCAATTTCTTTTCTCTTACATTATATTAGCTTCAAAAGTAGCTACTTTTTCTTCTCGAGTAAACTTAGACATAAACTATTAAAAATACTCTTCTGTAGAACAGTCATTCTTAGTAACCTCTTTGGCTCTTAAAATCTCGTTTCCAACCTAAATTTCCATTGATAGAAAGTTAACATGTTCTATTTTTCTTTGCCTTGAGTATAAATACCATCTTCCGTGAGAATTGTCTTCTGTGCTTTGTAAGTTTGATAATTTTGTTCCTTTAATAGAAGCAACTCATATTTCTTTATAACAGAACGCACATGCAGGACTTGAAAGATGTCACTAATAATGTACACTATGAGAACTACAGAAGCAGAAAACTGGCAGCTGTGACTTATAATGGAGTTGATAACAACAAGAATAAAGGGCAGCTTACAAAGTAAGTATATATATTTTTGTCCCTCCAGAAAGGTATTATTATGTGGTAAATAAATATGTTAAATTCCATTTTCCTCAGATTGCTCTTGGCTACTTAGAAAATTTGTATAATGTTGCTTGTGTACAATAGCAGAAATTTATATTGTTGAGCTTTGCTTTGGCAGTTTATATTTTACTATTTAATTGTTAGAGGAAATTATTTTATTGTTTTGTTAACGTTAAGTGAAAGAATCATACATTCTCTTTTAGTGTGATCTAAAATCAAACAGGAAACTCTGGTGGCGTAGTTAAAACTGCTAACCAGAAGGCTGGCAGTTCAAACCAACCAGCCACTCCTTGGAAAAAATCAACTCCTTAATGCATCACAACTATAAATAGATAGGTTTTTGTTTTTGTTTTAAAACAAAAACGAAGTTAATACCAAAATCTCTTTCCAGGGAGTAAGCTGGAGTTTGGGTGTTTTTTGATGGTTTTTGGTGGATCATAGAGCCTAACCTTTTCCTTCTTTGAATTTCTTCTTATCTGGCTATAATGCTTTTTTGAGGAACTTTAGATACCTTCTTAGGTTTTTCTGTTTTCAAGGGTGTCTTGGGAGTGCTTGTTGCAAAGGTAGGTTCAATGGCAAGAGATTCTGTTTTAGTAAATGTGGGATGGACCTCAAGGTTTGTATTTTTAATAAGCACTGTAGGGGTTCTGGGAGCTCTGGTGGCATAGTGCCTAAGACATTTGACTGCAAACCAGAAGTCTGGCAGTTCAAACCCACCAACCACTCCTTGGAAGGAAGATTGAGCGATCGATACTTCTATAGTGATACTGCCTCAGAAACCCAAGGAGGGGTCGCTATGAGTCGGATCCAGGTCGACGGCAGTGAGTTATTTAGTTAGTTGTAGGGGTTCTGATAGAAGTGATCATTAGTACATACTTTGCAAAACACTTCTAGGAGTTTTCTATAGCTGTTTTGGAAAGTGATACAGTTAGTAGGTTAACCATTTAAAAAAATATGTAAAATACAAAGGACGCTATTTGAGATAAAGTTCAGTGCATAAGAAACAGGACAGGCTTTTTAACATTTCTTTTTAGCAAACTTTTTCTCGGGGAAAAAAGTTAATATTTAGCATAAAAATATAAGGACCCATCATAGTGAATATTGTTCATATAATCAATTAAAGTTACTGGTAATTTTATAATATGTTAAAGGCTATGCATTAACAGTGCATTTTTTTCACTAAATGAGCTTAGTGTTTGATTTTTTAAAAAAAAAATTTGTTCATGTCCTAGGCATAATGAGTTGTTTCTTTGTTCCCATATCTCAAATACAAAGTTTTTAGAGTAGTGCTGTGAGAATATTAGGAACTCTGATGGCACAATGATCAGTGCATTCGGTTGCTAACCAAAGGATGGTGGTTTGAACCCGTCAGTCTTTCTATGGGAGAAAGATGTGGCAGTCTGCTTGCATGAAAATTCACAGCCTTAGAAACCCAATGGGGCAGTTCTGTTCTGTCCTGTAGGGTTGCTAGGAGTCAGAATCACTTCAGTGGTTAGAATATTACTGCTACTGCATGGCAAATAAGGTAATCCAGAGAAAAATAGTAAACTTCACAGTATTGTTAAAAATTCTACTGCATATACAAAATAATACTCTTTGGGTTATTTGAGTTAAACTATAACTCAGGTAAAAACATAAAAAGTAGAATTCTATTGAAAATATGTCTCTTAATGAGATGAATCATGGTAGGACTTTGCCTGCACAGTTTAAAAAAATAAAAAAGTTTATATTTCCAAAAAGCAAATTATCCTTGTAGCTATCATTTTGTTTGGTTAATGGGAAGTAGAAAAATAAACAGTTTTAAAGATTAAACCAGTTGAGAAATGGCTGTAAGTGGAATAAGCATTTGGTATGATTTGATAAATGAGAGTTTTACTATCTTGTTGAATAATACATGCCAAATCTGAAATAAGTCACTTGGAAGTTTTATCCATTGTTTTTTATCTAATGTGTCTGGAAAATGTTAGTAATCTCAGAAATATACCAGCTGAATTAAAAAAAAAAAATTGATGTCAGCAGTTTATGGTGCCTCAGCTGATAAAGGGTGCTGTTCTTTACAACTAAGGACACATCCATGAGTAACTGAAAATAATAACTTTAAATATATAAAGCCGGTGTGAGGAATTATTGAAGGAGACTTTTGTCATCTGGAGGTTTTCACACCTGAGACAGTTTACCTTAGATAAGTAATGGGTGAGAGGGAGAGATAGGTTTGACTTTTCTAAAGTGAGAGAAGGGCTATTTATATCTTGGGATGTTTTTAAGGCATATCACTTTGGCAAGAGTTTGTACAGAAGTTAATTATCTGGAAATTGATTCCTTTAGGGCTACCCATGTTCAGGTAAGTCCTGGAATGCTTTGTATAAATATAGACCCTAGTTTGGGTGCTTTTTGAAAATGTGGTTTTTTACGCTACTGATGGTCTGTAAGGGGCTCTGGTAGCATAGTGCCTAAGGCATTTGACTGCTAACCAGAGATAGGTGGTTCAAATCCACCATTCCATTCTCCGTGGAAGAAAGACTGGGCAATCTACTTCCATAAAGATTTATCACCTCGGAAACCCAAAGGGGGTCATTATGAGTTGGAATCGACTCGATGGCAGTGAATTTGGTTTTTTATCGTCTCTAAATAGACCATCTGCAAACTGTTTGAGAAAGAAATAATTGATCTTATTGATAATAAGATCATTTGTTCACCTACTGATTACTAACAGAGCTATGTTTTTTTTTTTTCATTTCCCTCATACATGTTTCATACACACACACACACACGTACACATATACCAAAAACCAAACCTACTGCCATCGAGTTAATGCCAACTTATAGTAACCCCTTAGGACAGAGTAGAACTGCTCCATAGAGTTTCCAAGGCTATAAATCTTTACAGAAGCAGATTGTTACATTCTCCCATGGAGCATCTGGTAGATTTGAACCACTGACATGTTGGTTATAGATACTTTGACCACTATGCCACCAGAGCTCCCTCGCTCACTCGCTCTCTCTCTCTACACCTATTTAAAAATTTATAGTTAAATTAACATTTGTATGGTAATATGCACCTTGGTTTTAGAATATAAGCTAAAAAATTTTAATGTTAAACAGTGAATAGTAAAAGCAGATCAGTTTATCTTTTATTTTATAAGACAGTTTTGGGTGGATGATAGAATCTATTGAACCATGGGTCGAAAATAAAAATATTTGGTTTGTATGTCTAAAGATGAACCTTTCTAGTAATGTTACTGATTCTAGAATAATTACATTATTTGTGTTTGGCACAGATAATAGAAAAATAGCAAGTCATCTGTTTTAAGAATTTCTTAAAGCCTCAGGGAGTGTGTATCTTGCCCACTGCTGTATGAAGTGTAAAGAGTGGTTGGGAGCAACAGAAAGGGAGATCATGCCTCAGATCAAAGAGGATTCAAGAAGAGATTTTAAAAGAATGGGAGAAGAGGTGGTCATATATAGATTGTTAATCTCTTAAAGGATGGTTGTCCCAGAGACAGATAGGAGTATCCTTTTTTGTTAAACCTGCTTCTTAAGTTTTACCTGCTTCCTTTTTCCTAGTTCTTACTTGTACCTTTTATGTAAAAATCACGTTTTATTGGCAACTCTTTTCTGAACTGTTTTCTGTCTTTAGCTATCAGTTGATACACTCTCTGTCATACCAATTATGACCATGATGTCTTGCTCTTGAGTTTGGGACAGATCCTTACTATTATCTCTTTTCCATGTGCTAGTTAATTTGTTTTTCTGATAACTATAGCCTTCTCCATCTTGTATTCTTGGGAAAACTTTCTTTATAGGAGACAAAGTCCCTGCAAAGGAGCCCTAGTGTTGCAATGGCTAAAGTGATCAGCTGCTAACAAAAGGTCAGCAGTTCAAACCCACCAGTATGTCTGTGTAAGAAAGATACAGCAGTCTGCATCTATAAAAATTAAAGTCTTAGAAACCCTATGGGGGAGTTCTACCCTATCCTATAGAGTTGCTATGAGTTGGAAGTGCCTCAATAGCAATGTGGTAATGGGGTAAGATTCTATAAATGACTAGAAAGACAGGTTTTCAAAAGAGATCCTCAGAACTCTTTTGGTATCTGACAGACTTTTCACTGAAGAGAAATAAGGCCAATACTTGGAAATTTCCAAAGTTCCAAAAAATTAAATCTGTTCAGTTATGATTTTTACTCTGTTCAAATGCCCTTTCATAAAAAAATATAATGATAGTACTTGGAGTTTGTTTTATGTTTGGTTTTAATACTCTGACTTGGCAAAATAAAACATTAGCCACTGCTTTCTTTCACAGTTTTTGGAAATTTTTACTGGTGTTTGAAATTTGTTTAAATGAAATTACTTCGAAAAAATTTGTATGAAAATTGTTGTAGGTCTGTATACGTGGTTGGTTACCAAACCATTGGAGCAAAAGTATGTAAATGTACTTTCTTAATTTGTTCTTCAGGAAAGACCACATATAAAATGTGATTGTCTTCTGTTATACTCAAAATGTGTGTTATGTGATACAGCCATAGGAAAATCATACTAGGTCACATGAGATGGTAAGTCACTTGATGGCCTCCAGAAGATGTAAGAGCCCAGAAGCCTTGGTGGCACAAGAGCTAAGTGCTTGCCTGGTTACCAGAAGGTTGGCAGTTGAAACCCTCCAGCCACTCTGTAGGAAAAAGATGTGGCAATCTGCTTCTGTAAAGATTTATAGGCTTGGAAAACTTACGGAGCAGCTCCTCTGTCCTATAGAGTCTCTTTAAAAAACATTTGGGTTTAAAGAGAACCTTGGCTAGTATCTAAGTTTTGTCTTTGGAGATTTAGTGTAATATTCCGATTATGTTATAGACTTGTTTTCTTTTCCTAGGCCTTTTAATTTCTTTGGCAGGATGCTCTTAATTTCCCCAACACATTTTTATAAGCTTTCAGGATTTAAGTATGCAGTGAAGAGTTTCCCAAGTAAAAAGTGGGTAGACAGTGGTATAAATTAAATGGTTTTTCCAGTCATCTAATAAAAAATGTTTTAGTTGGAAGAAAAATAACACTAAATATGATGAAAAGTAAAAAATGATCATTTTTCTGTGTTTTCTACGTTACATGCACAATTTCGTGCTATAGTTTTCTAACTTACCCTTTAATAAAAAAGAGTAGATGTATGCTTCTAATTCAAAATTGAGATATTTGAAAGATCATTGTAGCTGATGAGAAGCTTCAAAAATGCTTTTTAAATATGCATAGGCATTTTCTTGTAATATTTTGCATATCAGTTTATTTGGTCAGGAGTCAAGTAGTTTTCACAAGACTGATAAACTTAAGGTATCACAAATGTTATATTATAAATTTCTTTTGAAAGTATATATATTTAATAGATTCAGAAATTTGGGCAGGATTTCAGAAGATATTTGCATGATAGATTTATTTTAATAATGATTTAGTATAGGGATTACTAACAGAATTTAGAAAATAAATTAACTAGCCCTAACAAAATTTCCCATAAACTTTTTTTTAGGGCACACCATAATTATTTAATTATGAAATCTATAAATTTAGCTTTCAATTGCTGCCTTTAGTGTGCTTTATTCTCCATGTGCTAAGTCTCTGTGTTTTTTGTTCTTTTAGATTTGACACAATTAAAGTCATGTAAGTGGTCATTTTTCCACAGATATAAGCAGTTTTAGTATCTATAGATCTTTAATATTTGGCTTTTGAATTCAAAGGCAAATTTCAAAAAATCTTTCTCTTCACAGTCCTGTTTTTTCGCAAAAATTATTTTAAGTAATAGTAAGTCTTTTCAGGTGCAGATTACTGTGAATTTATTATGTTGACATGAATTGCCTGTCACCTTGTAAGGCATTCGGTTCCTAACCCCAGGGTCTGTGCTTCAAACCCACCACCTGCTTGGTGGGAGGAAGAGGAGGCAATCTACCTCTGTAAAGATTTATAGCCTTGGAAACCCAGTGGGGGTCACTCTGAGTCAGAATCAACTTGATGGCAGTGGGTTTGCTTTTGTTTGGGTTTCCCAAGGATAAAGTGAAAACAGTATTTTGTAAATGTTATTTTTGTTGTTGTTAGGTGCCATAGAGTTGATTTTCAACTCAGAGTGACAGCGTAGAACTGCCTCTTAAGGTTTTTCTAGACTGTAATCTTTACAGGAGTAGATCATCAGATATTTCTCCCACAGATCTGTTGGGTGGACTTGAACTGCCAATTTATAGCGGCTGAGCATTAACCATTGTGGCACCAGAGCTATTAAAAGTATGTCTGTATGTTTAGCTTTAAAATGATCACATTTCTGTCAGAATTATGATCTTTTCAATTTATTTACAGTCTTGAACTATTTCCAATTAGCAACAATATGTTTTTAATAATCTAAGATGCTCGAGTAAATATACACATTCATTTATTTATACAAGACTTAATTTAAAAATAGTTAATTAGGTTATTTCCTTTTTTTGCAGTACTAAAAGTTTTATGGAAGGGAAAATTGAATATCTGTTAAAAGCTTTGGACCTTCTCACTGGAAAAATGCACACATACAGCATACACTTGGTATGTAGTCTCAGAGCATTCACAGACTGCCTGAGGCCACTATATTAAAAGCACCTGACATAAATATGAGGAATATGTTATTAGAGATGACTTCATTAGCTTGTGATCAAATAATAGCATTCACACTTGAAACTTTGCTATTTCAGTTGACTCCATTTTTTTCTTTGTTTTAACTTTTTATTGTGGTTTGGGTGAAAATTTACAGAGCAAGTTTGTTTTCCATTCAGTTCATACACATTTGGTTTCATGGCATTCATTGCTATCCTCACAGTGTAACCATACTCTTCACACTTCTCCCTGTGTTTTCCCATATTAATTCGTCCTTCTTTCATATCGATGGCAGTGAGTCGTCATCCCCCCTCCCCCGTCTTCTGAGCTTAATCCATGGGCAAATGCTGCCCTTTTGATCTCCCATGATTGTTCTAAGAAGTGCATACTTCCCTGGTGTTGCTGTTCACCTTATAGGCCTGTCTGTTTGCCTGAATGTTGAGCCACAGGGATGAGTTCAATTCCAGGACCTAAGGGTGACTAAGTGCCATAGATTCTGTTTCCAACACTCTCTGTCAGATCAGTAAGTCTGGTCTTTTTATGATTCTGAGTTTTGTTCCACATTTTTTTCTCCCACTCTGTCAAGGTATTTCTCTTGGGATCCCTTTCAGAGTAGTTAGCAGTGGTGACTGGGCACCATTTAGTTTTTCTGGTCTCTGGGTCGTGGACTCTGGGGCTCATGTGATCCTTTGGTACTTTGGACTAATTGTTTCTGTATCTTTGATTTTCTTTGCTCCAGATAGGAGAGACCAGTAGTTGCACCTTAGATGGCAGCTCATAAGCTTTTAACCCTAGTCACTACTCAACAAAGTAGGAAGTAGAACATTGTCTTTCTGGACTTTGTTATACCAGTTGACCTTGATATCCCGAGAAATTCTGCTTTTGATCCCCTAGGCCCAGTGACTCATTCCCACAAGGTATTTGGTTATGACTTAGAAGTTTTCTTAACTTTCCCCCCTGCATGTTCAAATTCATTCATGGATATATTTGCAGCACATATACATTCATGTGTAGAAATACCTTCTATCAAACCTATATATACTCATGGAAATACTTCCATTTGTCTTCATCGATCTGTAGTTTACTTGTCTGTCAGTGTATCTGCTGTAGTTGTTGTTATATGCCGTCGAGTCGGACCCGACTCATAGTGACCCCTCCTTGGTTTCCAAGGCAGTATCACTACAGAAGTAGATTGCCCCATCTTCCTTCCAAGGAGTGGCTGGTGAATTTGAACCACCAGCCTTCTGGCTAGCAGTCAAGTGCCTTAGGCACTATGCTACCAGAGCTCCTAATGTATCTACTAGTAGATTATTATTATTGTTATTGCAAGATTATGTATATAATAGTATTCACACTTGTTGCCTTTAACTCTTGTGCTTCTCCCGGTTTCTTCCTTTGCTTTGATCATTTTGTGCTGAATTCTTCTTACTATGAATTGCCTTTCCTTTCCTCATATTAATAACATCTGTCCTCTAGATAGTGATTTACTGTTCCTCCCCCTCCTACCCCTGGTAACCATCAAAGAATTTTTCTTTCTTTGTGTAAACCTTTTTTTTTTTTTTTTGATTTAGAGTATTGATTTCATAAAATATTTGTCTTTTTGTGATTGACTAATTTCACTCATCATTGTGGCCTCTAGGTTCATCCATGTATATGTATGAGGTGTTTTGCAGACTCACTGTTACTCATTAATGTTACATATTCCCTTGTGTGTACCTACCATAGTTTGTTTATCCACTTATCTGTTGATGAGCACTTAGGTTATTTATATCTTTTTGCTGTTGTGAATAATGCTGCTATGAACATGAGTGTGCACATACCATTTCTGTCTTGGCTTTTATTTCTTTAGGATATATACCTAGTGGTGGGATTACTGGAACAAATGGTATTTTTACTTCCAGCTTTCTAAAGAAGCACCATACTGTTTCCACAGTGATGGTACCATCCATTTTACAGTCTCATCAGCAATGCATGAGAGATCCAGTCACTCCACACCCTCACCAGCAATTGTTGTTTTCTGGGGTTTTTTTGGACTTTGCTGTTAATGCTAGGGTGAGATGATATCTTGTGGTTTAGATTTGCATGTCTCTGGTGGCTAATGATTTCTAGCATTTCATGTGTTTTATGGCCATCAAAATGACTTCTTTGGTGATGTGTTTGTTCATGTGCTCTGTCCGTTTTTAATTTGATTATTTGTCTTTTTGTTGTTGAGGTTTTACAGTTTTTTATTAATTTTAGAGATTAATCCCTTGTCTGATACATTGTTGCCTCAAAATTTTTCCACATCTGTAGGTTCTCTTTTTTCCTTTTAGTAAAATATTTTAATGTGCATAAATGTTTAATTTTTAAGTAGTCCCAGTCATCTAATTTGTCTCCTGCTGCTTGTGTGTTTATAATAATGTTTGCTAGTGTGTGTATCTTTCATGCTTGGTAAAGTGGAGGGTCAATGAAAAAGGGGAAGGCCCTCAACAAGATGGATTGACACAGTGGCTACAATGATGGGCTCAGGTATAGCAAGGATCATGGAGCTGGTATAGGACTGGGCTATGTTTCGTTCTGCTATACCTAGGGTCATTATGAGTCAGAGACAACTTGATGGCACCTAACAACAACAGCAGCAAGTGTGTGCATGCCATGTATTACAACCCCTAAGTTTGCCACTATTTTTTCTTTGATTATAGTTGTAGGTTTTATATTTAGGTCTTTGATCCATTTTGAATTAGTTTTTTATATGATGAGAGATAAGGATCTTGTTCCATTTCTGCAGATGGATATCCAGTTTTGCAAGTACCATATGTTAAAGAAACTATCTCTTTATTTAATTAGTTTCAGCCCTCTGTCAAATACAGCTGACCATAGGTGGATGGATTTATTTCTGGGTTCTCAATTCTGTTCTGTTGGTTTATATATGTGTCACTGTACCAGTACTGGACTGTTCTGACTACTGTGGCTGTATAGTAGGTTTTGAGATTAGGGAATGTGAAACCTCCTACTTTGTTCTTTTTTAGTAGTGCTTTGCTTATCTGGGATCTCTTTCCTTTCCATATAAAATTAGTGATTAGTTTTTCCATCTCTTTAAAGAATGATAATGGAATCTGGATGGAGATTGCATTGTATCTTTAGATCGCTTTGGGTTGTATTGATATTTTCACAGTGTTAGGTCTTCCTATTCATGACCATGGTATATTCTTCCATTTATATAGGCCTCTTGGTTTTTGCAGTAATCCTTTGTAGTTTTCTTTGTATAGATCTGCTTGGATTTATTCTCAAGTACTTCATCTGGTGGGTGGCTATTGTAAATGGTATGATTTTTCTGGTTTCCTTTTCAGAGTTCTCATTGTTAGTGTAGAGGAATCCGACTGATTTTTGTATACTGCACCTTGTACCCTGTCACTTTGTTAAATGCTATTAGTTCCAATAGATTTCTTGTTGAGTCCCTAAGATTTTCTATGTGTAGGTTCATGTCATTTGCAAATACAGTTTTACTTCTTTGCCAATTTTGATTCCTTATATTTTCCTATCTTGCATTAATTGCTATGGCTAGGTACGACTTCCAGTACAATATTAAATAGGAGTTTTAATAAAGGGCATCCTTGTCTGGTTTCTGTTTGCACGGGGAATGGTTTCACTCTCTCCATTCGTAATAATGTTGGCTATTGGTTTTGCTTATTAGTCCTTTATTATGTTGAAGAATTTCACTTCTATTTGTATTTTTCTGAGAGTTTTTGTCAGGAATAAAAAAAAAAAAAAAA